CCTTCGACCCGCTTCCTGCATACTTGTTGAAGTTGTTCTTGTGTTGTTTCATCTGAATACATTCTTCACATACTTCATTTGGAATGTCGATTTCTGGTAATCCTGAAACCATATTTCTTCTCTTCATACCTATGATGTCTTTGAAATTGAGATGGCTAAGTCTATAATTCCATATCCATTCATATCTGCTGGTTCTAGGGTTTTCTCTAATTCGACCAGTTTCCTTCTTGATGATTTCGACCATTTGAATTGTTGTAGCCTCTTATGTCTTTGTTGCCATTCCAAATTCCTTTGCCTTTCTTTTCTTTTGTTAATTGCACCTGCAAAGTCATATCACTCTTCACCTTGCCTGCAGCTTCCATCTTTTGTTCATGAGATTCAAGTGTCCCTTGAAGCTCTTCCTTTTTCAATGTTGACAAATCTTTTGACTCTTTTATGGCTACAACCATGTGGTCGAACTTTGGAGCCAATGACCTCAAGATCTTTGCAACACCTGATCTTGATGTCAACATTTCTCCACATACCTTGATTTGATTCACCGGCTTTGTAACCCTAGTGAAAAAATTAGTTATGCTTTCACTTTCTTCCATCTGAAGCAATTCATAGGTTCTTTTGTGAGTTTGTAACCTCACCTCTTTCACCTTTTCTGCACCTCCAAACGATTTCTCCAGAATTTCCCATACTTCTTTCACTGATTCTACATCACTAACCTTTTCAAAATTATCTGGATCAACGTATTGATGAATTATAAAGAGAGCTTTATAATCTTTCTTCTTCAATTCTTTGTGTGCGATCTTTTTTTCATCCGTCACGTTTTCTGCAAGCGGTGTTACTCCTTCCTTCATAAGATCCCAAAGATCTTGATAATAGAAAACCATCATCACCTGCTTGCACCAATTCTCATAATTATTGTTCTTGAGAATTGGAAGACTTGCCAAAAAATGCATGTTTGGATGATTCATTGTCATTGCCTTTTTCTTCCATGAATCACAATCGAAGCTCTAAATACTAGATGTTAGAAATCCACTACAACCTATGAAGAATTTCTATCAATCTTGATGAACAAGATTCAATCAACCGATCGAAATTCCTTGTTCTTCACTCTTCACTTGAGTGAATCAATCACACCTTGATTACAAGAACGATTATGCGCATCAATTGTTAAAGGAAGAAGAAAGGAAATTGAATAAGAAAGAAGATTGGGGTTTGACAAAATTGGAGAAGAGGAGGATGATTTCTGCAGAGTAACTCTATGCTCTCAAACTGAAAAAATATTATTCAACTATGCAACTGCACTTTCTATTGTGTGTGTTACAATTCATAATAGGGTTATTCCCTATTTATAATTGAGCTAGCTTGCTCCCTAAGCTAAAGCCCAAAAACACAAAAACCCAAAATTTTATATTTTGGTCTAAGTCAAAATTATGTCGAGCAACCTGCTTCGACATTTCGACACACACACACTAGGCTAATTTCGACACATCTTTATTTCTGTCAAGCGTTACCTGCTTCGACACAAAAAATTACAATCTCAATATTATGTTGGTACTCCTTAGTAAAACAAAATTATTGAAGGGAAGCACTAGCATATACTTGGCACAACCCTGGCCATTTTATTTCAATCACATTCGCCACAATTATTTTGGACTCGTGATGTGAGTCAAGCAGTGTATATTATGAATATATTAACTACACATTTCTTGTCTCACAAGTCTTCACATCAAGTTTTGTATAGCAAATTATCAAATATTCATTTGTATAAATGACATATTTTTCATTAAATATCAAGATTATAATCCTACTTATATAAAATGACGCATTTTGTAATATGAAATATTCACAACATAAACACCAAGACACAACTGTGCATATACCTGAACCAAATACTTCAGCAATGCTTGAATCAATATTACTAAAATCACTTCCAAGAGCATAAATTCATTTCATGAAGCAAGCATATGGGTAATGGAACACCAAACTCATTGAGACACTTATTGCATATGGTTACATACAATCTAAGGTTGATTACTCTTTATTCACCGAGTAGTGTTTTGCACACTTCACATTCATTATTGTCTACGTGGATGATTTGGTCTTAGGGGGATGGGGGGTTGTGATAGACTTAGTTGGGTTAAGATTAGAATTCTAAGTTGCATAAAAAGAAATAACATAAGATAAAATTTTAGATCTTTCATTCAAACTCAAACTTCCAAAAACTTACATATAAATAACTAGGGTAGAAAATGCTAATTGGATCGTGGGCCAAATAAAACACAAGGAAAACCTCCAAATAAAACACAAGTTAGTTAATTTTGGGTTACTGTAACAACTTTTTAACTAACCTATGAAGTAATTAGAAATTAAAACTGTTAGATGATTACTAACTTGACTTACTTGGTATATACTTTAGAGTCTATTAATTAGAAAATTATTGAATAACAAAATCACTTTTTTATTAAATTATTGAGAAATTTGAATTGATACGTCAGAAAAGTCAAGAATTTCCCTCAGCAAACCTTTTTAAGCTAAACAAATAGGCAACCTTTTTTTGTCTGCAACAAATTGGCAAACCTTGTTACTTAGAGGTCAAGTTATTAAAAACTAAATGTAATAAAATAAATAACACTTTAAATAACCTTAATTCTAGCATAAACTTGAAACAAAATTGTCTCTTTGTGAATGTTAAACTTCATGTCTCATTGATATAACAAAAGGCCAATCCAAAACTATCAATTTCATCAATAAAATCTTAATTCCAAATACACAAAAAGTTGATGAATCTTACTTGATTCCAATAACACAAACCAAACTATATAATAGTAATAAATAAATATGACCAAAACAACATGGTCATTTTATATTGTTGCTTCTATATTAATTATTTAGTGTGTTAAAACATTGGAGAAAACTATAGTTTTTTATTGGGAAATATGGTAAAAAATTTCAGTGTTGAAATCATAGAGAGTGCAAAGCCTATTGTGTTGATGATAGTGGTTCAATCAATATATGCAGTTGTTAATATAATGTTAAAAATGGTAGCAAATGATGGATCAAGCTTAAGTGTTCTTATTGTTTATAGATTTGTATTTTCTACTGCTTTCACTGTGCCATTTGTTTTCTTCTTTGAAAGGTATATATATCTCTTATATAAATAAAATATCTTTTGGACTCTATAAAAAAAATAATGTTCAATTATTTTTGGCATGTTTCCTTAGGAAGAGTGTGCAAAATTTGACTGCAAAGGTGTTATTCCAAGCTTTTCTTTGTGGATTATTTGGGTAAAATTTCTATTAAATTAAGTATATGATTATGATTTTAAGAGAGTAATTTAAGCAAGGATTAAGTGTGATGAAAATTTAAAAATTTTCAGGGGATCATTACAACAAAACTTGTATATTAAATCTTTAGCTTTGGTATCTGCAACATATACTATAACCATGTTAAACCTCATTCCTGCCATTACCTATGTCCTGGCTGTTTCTCTAAGGTATGTAGCACTTTCAGAGCTGTCTTAAATTTTTAGAGACTCTGTAGATTATTTGCAGTTTAAATATGGCAAAACCAATAAGGTCTTATTTTACCACAATTAAACCGTTACAAATATTTTATGAGATCCTACGTAGCCTCAGCTTATCTCTAATAAATTTTAGACTCTATAGGGTTCCGTTTTGCACGTCCTTAAAAACGGTCCTGAGCTTTTAAGGTATTTTGGACGAAGCTGTGAAAATGTGTTTTGATTGATTTTTGAAGAATGGAGAAGCCAAATCTTGGAACACCAGCTGGGAAAGCGAAGTTGATGGGAACATTAAGTGGAATTGGTGGTGCAATGATCCTAACTTTATATGAAGGCAAAAGATTATTTAACTTATCATTGCACATTGATTTGTTGCAAAATGTTACATCAACAACACATCATTCTCCTGCTGGTTCTCATGTTTGGGGACTCATGCTAGCTTTAGGCACTGCTATCAGTTTCTCATTATGGTTTATAACACAGGTAGTTACAATTTCTAACTTAAATTTTACTATACAAAAATGTTGAAAACATTGTTTCTTGTTTATAATGTTATGAGTATGGATAAACACAGTCGAAGATGAGTCAGAATTTTCCGTGGCATTATTCAATTGCGGCATTAACCTCTATAATGGGTGCAATCCAATCTTTTATATATGCTATTTGTACTGAGAGAGATTGGAGCCAGTGGAAGCTTGATTGGAATTTGAGGCTTTTGACAGCAGCTTCTGCGGTACGATACTCGTACCATACATTAGTACATGTTTGGTATGACAGTAAATTTATCAGAATCTTATGTTTATGATAAATTCGCTGTAATACCAAACATGCAGTAACCAAGTTATGTGGTATTCAACTGATTTTGGTCTTTGTAGGGTATATTGGCCTCTGGAGTTTGTTTTGTTCTGTTGGCTTGGTGTGTGGGCATGAAGGGACCCTTGTATGTGTCGGCTTTTAATCCTCTAATGCTTGTTCTCGTGGCCTTTATTTCGTCGTTCGTATTGAACGAGTACATTACGGTTGGAAGGTAAACTAAGCAACTAGAATTCAGAAACATATTCATTGCAGTAAATATGTGACACAGTTAGTTACTGATCTCGACCGTTTGTTATAAATCATATTGTGCAGTCTAACAGGAGCCGTGTTGATTGTTTGCGGATTGTACATGTTATTGTGGGGTAAAAGCAAAGAAGCAAGAAAAAATGATAACATGAAAGAAATAGCTTCTGCAATAGACACTGTTAAATGTGATTCATTTCACATTGCCAACAACTCGGATTTATCTTGCATACAGAAGGAGCATGACATGAAGATCGCAACTATTGCTCCTGAAGTATCACTAAATGTCAATAATAATACTTTAGGGGAAATCCAAAAATCGAACATTTGAAAATAACTATGAATATGATCATGATTACATAGTTTTAATAATCTTACGCGAACCATCAACATTGCTGCTTTTATTTCTTTCTTCCTTTGATGGATATTACAGAACTCGACAGAGAGTTACGCCGTCCCCGATAGAAAGGATTGTTGACTCAACGCGAGTATCATTTGCAATATAGTTGTTGAATTCAATTGCAATTTTTCTTTTTCGCTTTGTGATATCTTCCATTTCATCATCCTCAGACATTGCCACGGAACCAGACCATAATGTATTGTCATACGCAATTATTCCACCCTTTCTCACCAGTTTCAACAACACCTCATGATACTTTGTGAAGTTTTCCTTGTCAGCATCCACAAACGCATAATCAAATGACTCTTCGTGTTTGCCCTACAATACAAGTAATCAGATTTTCAATTTTCTTCAATTTTCTATCCATCACATACATGCTCACACAAATGAATCATGCAAAAAGACTAAACCTTAAATCTTAAACTCTAAACCATAAATCCTAAACTTACGTCAATAAGGGCATTGAGGCCTGATAATGCATCAGTGTGGATAAAATTAATTTTGTGCTCCACTTCTGCCTTCTGAATGAAGGGCAAACCTGTCTCGTACGCTTCTCGATCCATATCGATTCCAATAACCTGAAATTACGGAATATCGTAAAGATTTATATTGTTCATATCATCGTCGTCAAGATTTACGCTATGATACCTTGCCGTTAGGAGGAAGAGCAAGAGCTGTAGTAAGAAGAGAATAACCAGTGAAGACTCCAATTTCCAATGTTTTTCTAGCATTCATGATTTTCAGAAGCATAGATATGAATTGTGCTTCATCCAAAGGAACATTCATTACACTCCTGTGACAGTGTTAACAAAATGCAGAAAATAAATAGTGTTAAATATATAATAGATATTATTGTTGATATACGTAACTTACATTTTGCCGTATTTCTGAATTGTTGTCTCTCTAAGTTGCTTCAATTGTTCGTGCTCTTTTGGATATGAACTTGTTTCAAGGATGTACTGATTAAAAAATCATGATACAGAACAATGAATGAATTAATATACATGTTGAAAGTTATAAGAGATGAATTAATTTGGGTTCAATTTCATACACATATTTCATGGTTAATTTACGGGTAAATAGACTCGTAAACAAAGTTTGTGACTCAAGTTAACTTCAGCCTCTCAAAAGTTTGAGGCATTTCATGATTGAATAAGTAAATTACCTGAAGAAGTGCTGGAGTTTTGAGGATGTTCTTGGCCATGGTTGAAGGTCAGAGGAAGCTGCAATTGATCGGTTGATGGATGAACTGAGACCCCTGTCTTTATCTATGATGATTAATTGTAATATAAAATTAATGAGGGGAGAAGTATTTTTGTCCAAATTTGGGCTTCAGAAATTGGCCCACAGGCCTTGTCAATGACAAGAGGGTACATCAAGAAAATTTTACCTCCTACCCATACCTTTATCCCTATACCCCTACATTTTAAAAAAATATTAATTTTGCCTTGGTATATTAAACCAATTTATTGTTAATTTTTAAATTTTTTTAAATTTTATTTTACGTACCAGAAGACTTTGCAAAAGAGTTTCGGTAGTTACTTTTTAACTTATTTTTGTGTGTACCAGAAGACTTTGTAAAAAAGTTTCGGTAGTCAATTTTTGTGTACCGGAAAACTTTACAAAAGAATTCCGGTAGTCATTTTTTAAAGCTTTGTTATATGTATCGGAAGATTTTGCAAAAGAGTTCTGGTAGTCAATTTTTGTGTACCTGAAGACTTTGTAAAAGAGTTCCGGTAGTCATTTTTTGAAATATTTTTTAACTTTTATTTTGTGTATCAGAAAACTTTGAAAAAGAGTTCCGGTAATCAATTTTTGTGTACTGGAAGACTTTACAAAAGAGTTCCGGTAGTCATTTTCTAAAACATTTTTTAACTTTTATTTTGTTTACCGAAACTCTTTTTCAAAATCTTCCAATATGCAAAATAAAATTTTAAAAATATTTTTAAAAAATAAATTAATAAATTAATTAAAAATATACAAAGGTAAAATTGATATTTTTTTATAAAATATAGGGGTATAAAGATAAAAGTAAGGGTATGAGGTAAATTTTTCGTACATCAAAAATGAAATTCTTTTTTTCACTAATCTTTTTTTAAAAAAAATCTAATTATTAAAAACTACATCCAAATTCTAGAATTTTTTTAAAATAACCATATTTTTCAATAAACATTATTAAATAAATTTCTTTCCCAACTAATTTTAAAAGTACTTATGTTTCAAAGAAAAAATAATTGAGTTTTAGAGGATTACAAGTCAATTGACGACCGCATTAAAAAATAAGAGCAGTAGTCAATTAAGGAAATAACATGGTACAAATATTATTCATAATTTTTCCATTTCAATTAACAATATTTGGTTAATAGATGGACTGAAACATAACATGTATTAGTTAATTTTGTGGCTGTGGTTATAAAGTAATGTTTAATAAGAACAATTCTACCGTCATGAATGAGTCTGACAAGTCCATAGTGTTCAAAGGTAAGAGAAAAGGCAGTGTTTATAAAATTAATTTCTCTGAATTGGTTGATCAGAAGGTACTTTGCCTTCTATCAGTGAGTGATGAAAAATGGCTCTAGCATAGAAGGTTATGACATATTAATTAGAGATTAACTTCTAAGTTTTGCAAAAGCTAAAACTTGTCAAAGATTTTTCAGAACTCAATTATCACTCAGATACTCTTGTGGAGCATGCCAAGTAGAAAAAGTTAATAAAACATCTTTTAAATTAAAGAAGATTGTCTCTACCTCCAGACCCTTAGAACTGCTTCACATTGATTATTTGGTCAAGTTGGTATTGTATCAATAAATAGGAAGAAATGTGGACTAGTCTTACTTAATGACTATAGCATATGGAATTGAATCAAATTTCTTAGAACTAAAGATGAGTCATATGATGTGTTTAGCATCTTCTGCATACAAGTACAAAATAAAAAAGAATCAAAGATTTTAAAAGTCATAAGTGATCATGGAGGAGAATTTGAAAATGAGCCATTTGAAATCTTTTGTGAAAAATATGGAATTCTCCATGAGTTCTCTTCTCCTAGAAATCCACGTAAAAATGGAGTTGTAGAGAGAAAGAACAGATATTTACAAGAAATGGTTAGAATCATGATTCATGAAAATAACTTACCTAAGTACTTGTGGGCAGAAGCTGCAAACATCACATGTTATGTTCATAATAGAACCTATATTAGACATATTCTGAACAAAACTTCATATGAGCTTTTTAAAGGAAGAAAGTCAAGTATTTCTTATTTTCATCAGTTTGGATGTATATGTTACATCTTGAAAAACAAAGTCTATATAAAGAAATTTGATGTCAAAGCTCAAAAAGGTATCTTCTTAAGATACTCTGAGCGCTCAAAGACATATAAGGTGTATAACTCTGAAACCAAAATGGATGAAGAGTCGGTACACAACAAATTCGATGACAAAGACCCTGACACCTCATAAGCTAGTGGTTCACAAGCCACTAAACCTTTAGAAGCGGAATGTCCATAAGCTAGTGGTCCAAAAGTTGGTCCCACTTCTGAAGTCCATCCTGAGGAAGAAGCTTCTAAAGAAGCTCGTGATGGCTCACAAGAGGCAACATAATCCAAGAAGATCATCAAGTACAAGTCTTCACATGCAAAAGAGTTATTCATTATAAATAAAGATATTCATCTAAAGATAAGATATGCATTCAGAGATGAACACTCAATGTTAGGACTTATCTCTATGACTGAACCTACTTATGTTGATGAAGTACTATATGATGATGGTTGGATTGTGGAAATGCAAGAAGAGTTGAATCAATGTTAGAGGAATGATGTTTGGGATCTGGTATCCAAACCTAATCAGAAAAATAATATTAGAACAAAATGGGTCTTCAGAAACAAGCTCAATGAGCAAAGTGAAATGGTAAAAAAATAAAGCTAGACTTGTAGCTCAAGGCTACAGTCAACAAAAAGGTATTGATTTCGATAAAACCTTTTCACATATTGCAAGGTTAGAGGCAACTAGATTACTTTTATCCTATGTTATTAATCGTAACATCACTTTATATCAAATGGATATTAAAGGTGCATTTTTAAATGGTGTTATTTTTGAAGAAATTTATGACAAACAACCACTTCGGTTTGAGGATTCAATCCACTAAGAACATATCTTTAAACTTAAAAAATCACTCTATGGACTCAAACAAACTCACAAACCTTGGCATGAAAAACTAAGTAATTTCCTATTAGAAAATGGTTTTCAAAAAGGACAAGTTAACACTACACTTTTCATAAAGACACTAAAAAATGACATCTTAATTGTTCAAGTATATCTTGATGATATTATTTTTTGCTCTACTAATGCTACTATTTACAAAGAGTTTCCTGAGTTAATACAGACTGAATTTGAAATGTGTATGATCGGAGAGTTGGAGTCTATATACACCATACAAATTACACAAAAGAGCTTCTAAAGAAATTCAAGCTAGATGATTGCAAAATAATAACTACTCCTATACATCCTACCTGCAATCTGAGCAGAGAGGAAAGTAGCACGAAAGTGTTTCAAAATTTGTACAGAGGTATGACAGGTTATTTACTTTACTTAATAACTTCTAGACCTTATATTTAATTCCTTATGTGTCTATGTGCAAGATTCCATGTATATCCTAGAGAGACTCATTTAACTATTGTTAAGAGAATCTTTAGGTATCTGAAAGGAACTACTAATCTAGGATTACTTTATAAAATATCTCTGGATTACAAGTTAGTTGGATTTTGTGATGTTGATTATGCTTGGGATAGAATTGAGAGAAAATTCACTAGTGGAAACTGTGAGATGTTGGATGGGACTCTAGTATGGTCGAAGGGTAGCTTCTGGTTCGACAAGAATTAAGCATGAGGTCGAAGTCTGTTCACATGCTGCTGGCGGAGTAATGCGTGTTGTAGTCAAAGTTTGTTTTAATATGCATTAGTCAATATTGCTAGGGTGTAAGTATGTTGAATTGGGTTTTGCTTGTAAGCCTAATTTTTTAAGTTAGCTTGTACCCTAACTTAGCTTGTAATGGGTAATTGTTAAAAATCCCATTAGGTTAGTGTGCTATTTTTCTTATAAATAGGATGCTAGTTTCTCAATCTTGGCATAAGGAAAAATAGGAAGATAAAATCCTAATTTCAAGAGAGAGAGGTTATATTGTTATTCTTGTATACTTGTAATGTTATTTTAAGAGTAAGGAAAGAATAGCAGTTTATAACTAATCCTTGTTGTTCCTTGTTGTTTTACCTTGTTATCTTTGTTAACCCTAATCCTTGTGTGTTTCTTGATCATAAAGAAACCATTTATATTTTGTTCCAAGGCATCTGATGCACAACAAATTGGTGCGGTGAGCATGGAGAAGATGCCTTCAACAAAGTATGAAATTGAAAATTTCACTGGAGTGAACGACTTCGGTCTGTGGCGCTTGAAGATGAAAGCCCTACTAGTTCAGCAGGGTTGTTTGGAAGTGTTGAAGGGAGAGGCAACCATGGACGCTGCATTAACGGCAAAATAAAAGACAGACATGATTGAGAAAACCCACAGCACAATATTGTTGAGCCTTGGTGATAAGGTTCTTCGACAGGTATCAAAGAAGACTACAACATCGGTATTATGGTGAAACTTGAAAGTTTGTGCATGACCAAATCTCTGGTGAATCGACTCTACCTGAAGCAAGCTTTATATTCATTCAAGATGAGCGAAGGCAAAGTGTTGGTTGAGCAGTTGGATATGTTCAAGAAGATGATTCTTGATCTTGAAAATATTGATGTGAATATCGATGATGAAGATCAAGCACTGTTCCTGGGTGTTTTGCCCATAACACATGTTCACTTCAAAGAAACTCTCTTGTATGGAAGGGAGACCCTGACCTTTGAAGAAGTTTAATCAGCCTTGTATTCTAAGGACTTGAACGAACGAAAGGAGCATAAACCTTCGACGGTGGGTGAAGGTTTGGCCGTTAAGGGAAAATTCTTATGAAAGAATGGTAAGTTCGGCAAGAAGAAAGGTAAAAGTCAACAGAAATCTTATGGTGGCAAAACATCTGGTATTCGATGTTATCACTGTAAGAAGGAGGGTCACACAAGAAAGGTGTTCCTTGAACGCCTGAAAGATCATGAAGGTAATGGCAATGCAGCCATTGTTCAAGATGACTTCGACTCATCTGATGTTCTTGTGGTTTCAAGTGGCG